CTCATATTCGAATCAACTCGAATTATAAACATATAAACTCGAGTCTATAAAAAAATGACTCGAGTTAGAAATTGACTTGAGTTTACTCGAGTTATACAAGTGCGAGTCCAATCTCTAGTTGTATATCATAACTAATAACATATATCATAAAATTTTTATAATATCTAATAAATAATAAATTTATATTGCATATTTTATGCAATATTTTAATGTTTTTAATACAAATTTTCAGCTATTATAAAATATTGAATTTTTTAACTAAATTTTATTTTAATTTATTAAGTAAACTTGTTAATTAAAAAATATATTTTTTAAAAAATTTATATTAATTACTTTTATATTCGTTGAGATCGTCTTAGTTTAATGAGTAAATATCTATGCGTGATGTCAATCATTTTTCAATTTCAAATCTAAAATTTCAAATCAAATTTTTTCTATAATCTACTTATTGATTTGAATAAAAATTTTTATATTTGTTACATAACATTCTGTATTTTATTTATCAATGAACATTTTCCTCCAAAAATGGGTTTTATTAAAAAAATATGACTACTTAATGTAAAGAACTCTCTTAATTTCAACGCGGTAAAATTATAGGTGCTTGGAAGTGTAGTTTTAGTGAAAGAAAAATAAGTGAAGTATTAAATTATGCTGAAATTACAGTTTATGATGTTATTTTTATATTTAAAAATGATGGATTTGAAACACTCCCTCCTCAAAGTGATAGACTACCTATTTTAACTGATAGAGATGATTATCATTTAATGCAAATTCTTAATAAAGATCATAAAACAAATATTGCTGAATTATGTGAAAATTTTGTTGCCTCTACTTCAACAAATATAAACCAAATTTCTCTTAAAAAACATCTTCACAAAAATGGAGTTTATGGAAGGATTGGAGCAAAAAAAACCCTTTGTAAATGCAGCTAATAAAATGAAAAGATTAACTTAGGCTAAAAAAAAAAAGATTGGAAAAATGAATGGGAATATATTATCATGAGTGATGAATCTAAGTTTGAGGTATTTAAAGAAGATGGAAAGAGATATTTTGGAGGAATGCTCAAGAAAAATATGATCCAAAATGTCTTATTCCTACATTTAAATCAAGTCAACAGAGTGTAATGGTTTGGGGTTGTTTTACAAAAAATAAACTAGGTCAATTGGTCAAATTAGAAGGCAGAATTACAGTGATTATATATAAAGATATATTAAAAAAAACTATTTAATACCATTTATAGATAGTTAAAAAATAAAAATAAATACATTTTTCAAGAAGATAATGCTTCTATTCATGCTGCAAAAGTAGTAAAAAAATGGCAAATGGAAAATAATATTATAAGTTTACCATGGCCTGCACAGAGTCCAGATTTAAATCTTTTAGAAAATTTATGGGATAAATTGGATAGAAAGGTCAGAAAACATAAACCATTACCAAAAAATCAAGATGATTTATGGCAGATTTTGCAGGAAGAATGGTTAAATCTTGATGAAAATATATATAAAAATCTTATTGATAGTATACCACACCGTATTTCTGCTGTTATTGACAATAAAAGCAATTCTACAAAATACTAATAATAAAATTATAAAAAAAATATTTATATGAGTAATTTAAAAAAAAAATTGTAAAAATCGATGTGATAGTTCGTAAGTTATCGCAATTTAAAAATTTGGGTATAATTTATAAAAAATGATCGACATCGCATGTGCCTGGTGACTTTTGATACTCCACTTTACATATATAACATTATTAGCAATTGATTAAGGAATGATTAATATATTTAATTGTTTTTTTTTAATATTTCAAAAATTTAATATTTTTGCATCTCGTAATCTATTTTTAATAGTTCAACTCCTATATATAGACTTACTATAGTTGGATTGAGTTTGCTAATACTATATCTGTACTTAAGAATATTTAGATATTTATATGCATCTATTTAGTTTCAGAGTTCCTTATAAAAATAAAATAAATAATTGAGATCTTAATCTGTAATATCAAAGTAACAAAATACTATTTAAATATAAATTTGGCCTTCTTGCTTACTATAAGTTTATTTAAAGTAGGAAGCTCTTCAGTATATATTTTCATCTTAAAAGCCATTTTATACCTTTAAATAAAAGTAGTTATAATTGGAATGTGTCTTATAGATTAAGAGATTTAAAGAAGAAGTAAAACACTCCATTTAAATTCATTTGCAAAATCCAAACATATGGTTATATTATCACAAATATAAATTTTAAAAATAACAAACTTATATAGCTTATATATAATTCTTATAATTAAAATAAATTTTTATTAATATACTAGCTGTGACCTGATGCATTGCACCAGGCTTTAAGTAAAAATAATTGTGATTAAATTTATATATTATTTTTTATATTTATTATGGTAATAAAACAGATAATAAATAAAATAAATATATATAATTTATATAATTATATATAGTAAATAATTGTGATTTTTAATAGTATGTTATCATTGTTTTATATAGAATGAAATATTACATGGTATACAATGTTTTTAGTTTGGCAATTATTACTATCATCTGTAAGAATTTTAAGATGCTGATATGAAGTCACTCTTGATAGAGCAACATACAGTTGACCATGTGAAAAAACAGATTGAGGTAAATAAATACCAACCCTGTTTAAAGTTTGTCCTTGTGATTTATTGATTGTCATTGAAAATGCAATACATATAGGAAATTGACGCCGATTTAAAATGAAAGGTAATTTAGTTTCTGATGGAGTTAATATAATACGCGGAATAAATATACGTTTACCATATATGATCCTGTTATAATCTCAGCATCAATAACTCTACTTTAAAACCCACGACAAATCAGTCTAGTTCTATTACAAAGACCTTCTGATGGATTTAAGTTTCGTAGGTGAATGATTGGTATTCCTAACTTTAACTTCAATACACCAGGAGGAAGTTCAGGAATTTTTAAAGATCTTAAAAATTTAGGTGAATAAGTTTGGGGTTGTTCTACTGTACTATCATCTGGTAAATTTACTAAATCAGCACTGGGATATAAAATAACTTCACCAGGTATTCTTCTCATTATAATATTTGAAATAATTTTAACATTAATATTTTTAGGAGTTAAGATTGCTTTGCTAACCATATAATTAGCATTGCCAGAATTTTCAATCAAATCTGGATAAACAAAATCAATTAGGTTTGTTAGAGTTCCTTTATGTATTGTTATATCTGAAGGAAGTGTTATTATATTTTCTGTATTAGGATTAATTGTATATGTTCTATCACCAACTTTTAAAAGGAATTCTGCAAATTGCTTTTGTTTCAGATTTTCTAATGGATTAGAGGTTTGTTGAAGTCTCATATTTGTTGATAATTTCATTATTTTAATATAAATCCATAAAGATGATCGAATTAAACTTGCTAAAACAATATCAGCATGAAGTGAATGTGGTATAATGGGTAAGACTTTTGAAAATCTCTTCCAAAAACAAATATCTTTTTACCAAATGGTTTGTTTACTTGTGTAATATCTCAAAATGTTCGATCAACTGCTTCAAATACAAACTTATGCATCATAGGATCTTCATCCAAAATAAAAAGCTTTGCTATATTAATTAAACGTGCTAATTTATCATTACGAGAAATTTTACATGTTGAAAATTCATCTATTTTAAATGGAATTTTAAATCGAGAATGTGCTGTTCTACCACCACTCATTAATAATGCAGCAATTCCAGAAGATGTTACTGCTATTGCAATGTCACCTTGTGACCTAACATTAGCTAGTAAGGTATTGTAAAGAAAAGTTTTTCCACTACCAGCTGGACTATCTATAAAGAAACAACCACATTCATTATTAATTACTTGGATAATTTTGTTATATATTGAATGCTGTTCTTTATTCAATAGAGGAACATTTTAACGCACTTGTTTTATCAAATAAATGGTATCATATGATCTTTTTTCATAAATTAATTGATCTAAATTATTATTAGCAAAGTTAGAATGAATATTTTGTATTGAAAGAATTGGCATATGAGGAAAATTTTTTAGCGACATTCTGTTTGATTGAAGATAATGTTCTATTTGGTTTAATGCTTCATTTTCTATTGTATCATTTAATATTATAGTTTGTGAAGGAGTAAGTTGCTGTGTATTATATAAAATATCTTCACATAATACTAATTTATGAGTATTCCATAATTGTTCTGGTGTTAAAGTTTGGCACATAAGAAGAATCATAACAAAAAGGTGACGTAATTGCTTTCCTATTTGCATATTACTTGCTTCATATAGACATGTATTCCATTCATTATCATTTTGAAGAAGTCCAAGGCAAGTGCAAGCTTCTTTAAAGGTTCTGCAAATCTGTTTATTAACAGTTTTTAAATTATCAAATGAAGTAGCACCTGTTATGTGTGTAAGTAATATTCGTAAGTAATATCGTTTACCTTCTATAGGTTGAACCATATATAGCCTTCCTATTGCTCCTGTTGCATTTTTTCTACGATTCCACTTGTGAAGTTTTGCATTCCAAGTATAATATACTGGAAAGTCAGTATATTTATAATTTTGTGCTTCAATATTATTCATATTTTCTTGAAACCAAGCTGTTAAAGTAGTTTTATATCTAGTTTCATTATTAACTATATCATACAAATAATCTTCTTCAGAAAATATAACTGTTTGGTGATTTAGAAAATGAACCGCTAATTTTTATACATTTGAATTACGTCTATGCATTTTAAAATGAAAAATTCTCCATATACTTTCAGACGATAAAACTTATCGTGCATCTAAATACATTTTAATTTCATCAATTAATTCATTTGTATCTATTGCTTCCTGATCTATTCTATTAATAGATTGAGAAAATGCTACAGTTGCATGATTATGACCTTTATATACATATATATATAAATATTTAATAGCTAATATTGATTTGCAAATTTCAACATTTATATGTGCATTATATTTTTCTGCTGATTTAATATTATAAAGAACAACCTATTGGTTATCTAACTGAATTCTATTTCTAATTTCTATATAATGACCATCATATTATTAACGGTAAATTGGATATCCATCAAAATTTTCTTGTGTAGTTTCTTGAAAGATTTTTGGATAATACTTTTGGCATTTACCATCTTTCATACATGGTGATGATGGATTTAATACACCACATGGGCTATGCATCATCATAGTTGTCACAGTTTCATAAGCTAAAGGATTTAATTCACGATTAGGTATTTCTGCAGAAATAATTGAATCATATTCTTCTATTGAATGAATTTTATTTTCAGGAGCTAATATTAATAAGATGTGTGCATGAGGTAATCCTCGTTTTTGAAATTCTATTACATAAATATATGCAATAACTTTTCCAAGTAAATTTCTTTCACACAGATCTTTCATCGTTTCTTGTAATTTCATATGAAAAACTCGAGTAGTTAAATTAGGCCTATTAGCAGCAATTTGACCTGGTAATAATTCTCGTATAATTTCTGGCCATTTTGGATTACATGTGAAGGTAATAAAAAGATCAGGCTTACCAAAATGACGTATAATTGCCATTGCATCTTAATATAATTGATACATATATCATGGTTCACCAGAAAAAGTTGATGAAAGAATTATACGACATCCAATATTATTAGTATTATCTCCTGCATGTATTGCATCTATAGCTCCTTGATAAAATTCAGTTTTAAGTTCTGACTGATTTTGTCTTAAGTAATTTAAACGATTTTACTCAATTTTAGCATATTGATCAACAATATATTGCTGATATAATCGGTCAGCATTTTGTATCCAGTCACCATTCCTAATTTGTAATCTATAAGAATAAAATTGCATTTGTGTTACTCTTTTTCTTGCTCCAGGTTCTGTAAGAGGAATATCAGTATGCCAACCATCATCACCTTTTGGAAATAATAATATATAATGCAAGGCATCATAAGAGGAATGTAGTTCAGATATTCTTTATAAACTTCCTTCACGAGTTTTAAGCAAAATATCACATTTAATGGTTCAATATCATGTTCATCTCTTATCATAAGTGCTGCAACTTCAGATGATGTAGGTACACTATAACTATGTAAATTTTGTATACGATTATTATGAATTAGCATTGATATATTAGAAGTTTCAGATATTTGAAAATATCTCGTGCTTATCGAAAAATATGAATATAAGGATTGATTATGTCAAGCATATTTTGTAAGTTTTTTAGAATTGTTACATCTAAATTTTGCATAAGATTAAGATGATTTCTAATTTCATGTTCAGTATCATATATATATAGTTGAGCAAATCTAAGTACTTGTCCTTTTTCTGGTAATAATGGTCCAATAAGATGATAAACTTGATTATGAATGCTGAAATTAGATATTCCTTTACTTTGAAATTCATCATTTACATTAGCACCAAATGATGTGTAAGCTAATAAACTGTTATAACTTCTAACATTTTTACGAAAAGAATTAGCTTCAGATTCTGATGAAGTATAGAGATTCATCAAATATGGAGGTGGTTTAAGCAGAGGCAATAATCTAACTTTTCTATTAATACAACATACAGAAAAAGTAGGAGAAATCTGTATGCTCCTTTGATTTTTTTCATCTATCCAAAACTTGGCATTACAACTGATTCATACTTCCTAAGTCATGATGAATATCAATATTATTATTAATACGCCTTCTTTTGTAATTTCTTTGTCTAATCTGATTTACAGTAATCTTCTTTGATGATTATTAGAAGTTTCACTTTTATTATTGATTTAGTCTATTGAAGCCATTTGGATTAGAAATTTATTTATGTTATTTTAATATGATAGATTATATGATATGAATGGTAATAAAATAATAAAATGTGTATTTTTTTTATAATTTAAATACCAAACACAATGTTTCATATAATTATATAATATAGTAGAATAATATATTATATTACATAAAATAATAATAATAATATGATTGTATGATAAGAATGGTATAGAAGATTTTCTA